GAGAGAGAGAGAGAGAGAAGAGAGAGAGAAGAGAGAAGAAGAGAAGAGAAGAAGAGATAGATATATATATATATTATATATAGTATTTTTTTTTTTAGAGAGGAAGGAAGGAAGGAAGGAAGGAAGAAAGGTGCCATGTAGCTCAGGCTGACAACCAGGACGTGCGAACGCAGTGCCCTTCCAAGTGGAGGTAAAGTCCCTACAAAAATAATCTGTCTGCTTGCAGCCCAGTTCTTTCCAGAGTTCCCACCCCCCACCCCAACTCCCTTTTATATAAACTTCCCAGAGGGACACCTTTGGTGTCCTGGGAAAGCCCCTTTCCTATGCCAAATGCAGCTTCTCTGATTGCTCTTACGATACTGTTTTCAAAGCTGACATTTCTGTACATAGTTACCCTTTCTTTCCTCCCCTTTTGCCAGCTTTTAGTCCAATATGCCAATTGTCCTACACTTCCATGACTTCAGACCTTAAACATTTTAACCAACAGTGGAGAATTCTGTAACACACTTTCTGCAAAACCCGGTCTATAATCTCCTCCCTTCCCCCAGCCCACTCGCTGGGGGCAGTGATTTCCTCAAAGAATTCCAACAAATTAGTTCGGCACGACTCCCCTTCCTGAAATGATGTTAGCTGTCTTTAATCAAGCTTGCTATTCCAACTGTTCCTGATTTGATACCTTCAAGTTGTGAGAGTCCTTCTCTCTAACTGAACTAAACTGACTGGCTTATCTTCTTATTCCCAGCAGACCCACAAACACTGATGATATTTCAGGGAGGGGGTGTGGGTGATAAAGAGGAAAAAGGTTCATTAAATCTTTTAACTTATCCTACTTTTTTCATAGACAGAGACTTTTTTTGTATGTCCCAAAATAAGTGTTTAAAATCAGAATTCCAGAGAGAGGCATCTCAGAATCAGTCTTGGTGCTTTAAAAAATGTTAGTACGTCCTCTACACGTTTGAACAAATGTTTAAAGTAAGACCACCTTAATTATTTGGTGCCAATGGCGTGAATTTCCTACACTAATCATGGCTGGTATTTACTTGCTATTTGTAGTGCCAAATCTCAACTTCTGAAGTCAGGAGGTTAGGTTATAAATACCCCCTATTAGATAGCTGTAAAATATTTGCCTGAAGGCTTTGATAGTTTAAAGCTTTCCATTATACATATAGACAGATATGTATATTCTTGTAGCTATGTATATTTTAGGATACATATGTATCTCCACAACACCTCATGTGTGGTCATGATATCCATCACATAAACTTCTGCATTTTCCAAACCCTGGGATACAATTTCAAACCATATATAAACTGACTTTATACTGCCCATATGCACCGCTCTGGGCCCTACCACGCAGATGGCATCATTATTTCCACACAGTCTGATTCATCGTCCAAACTCAGGAAAGGGTCTCAAGGAAAAGACATTTTAGGACCAGGTTTCCAACTTGAAACTCTCCATGGGAATTTCCAGAATAATTCTGATACATCAAGGAGGGGAAAAAAAAGTGAAGAAGAACTGAAAACCAGAACCAAAACCAAACAAAAGGAGAAGCATTAAAAAGTTATGTGATGAAGTGGGATGCTATAAAGTTTTTATTATGACTTGTTTGGAAAGAGCTTGCTTAACAAATGCAGTCATCCTCTATTCAAATGCAAAGCAATAAAAGAGTTTATAGTCCACTATCACATGCCGTGATGTGTACGGAATGGTTAAGCCCAATCAGATCTTAGAAAAGAACGTTTTGCTTGCTCTTCTAGCAAAGTTCACCCTTTAAAAGAGAGAGAAAGGAAGAAAGAAACTTCTGCAGAGTTATGGGGATGGAGAACTGTCTGGAAAATATATCAACTGAGGAATGGATGCAGGAAGGAGAGCTATCTCTTTACCTGGGAAAGAGAAAACTAGTGAGGGAAATGAGAGCTGTCTTCACATATTCTAAGGGCAATTTTGTAGAAGAGTTATTAATTTTAGAGTTACGATGTGAAGAACTAGATCTAATGGGTAAATGTTGGGGTGAAAGGAGGGGTGGTAGATTTGACTCAATAAGGAATCTTCTGACATCACAGCTTCTCACAGAGGAATGATCTGCCTTGGGACTCATTGGGTTCTCCCTGTCTAGAAGATTAAGCAGAGGCTGTTAGCATCTGACAGGGATGTGACACAGCTAGGAGATTTCTGGGGCAGGTGGACTCTGGATGAGCTGACCTATACGGTCCCTCCCATCTCTAGATGTCTACGAGCCTAAGATTTGCATAAAATTCCAAATTGGCAGTTGGAGACATTTCATACCCCCCATAAATCTGAGCATGCGCCGGAACAGGATTTTCATGGAAAAAAAAATGTAAAAAGCATAAATCTGTTTTCATTGTTTAGTGTTCCCTATGAAAAAAGATTTCTTTTTTAAAGTAGGAAATGTCAGAAATAAAGTCTTCCATGATCTCAGGTTTGGAGCATGGACTTTTTCTATTGTTCATTCATAACTCTTTTGTCAAATGTCTTCAGGTTGGGAACCACAATACGTTGAAAGGCTGTGGGGAAATTCCAAAAAGTTTAAAGAAATCAGAGCTGTCAAATTCTAGACAGAAATTTGATGTAAAGTATATTAGTTGATTCTTTTCCTTCCACATTATCACCCTGGATTCCTGGGTGTTTTTTCCCCCAAATCGCACATCTGCCAAAGGCCCCTTTTCCGTTTGACCCCCTCCTTCATTTCCACCCGCTTTGTCCCCATAGGTTCAGCTTTTGCCTCCCATAGCATATTTGCTTTCTGGGGCAAAACAAAGGAAACCCAGTTCCTATAGCTCTCTCCTTGATGGGGGAGACCAAGCAGGCTCTCTGAAGAGGCACAGAATAAGAGAGTTGGAGAATCGCTGAGCTGGTCTCATTATCTCACTCCTTGTTTATCCTCAAACGTGCCAAAAATGGCCCAGGAACAGACTTCCTGCTCCATCATTTAAAATGACTCTCTTTCTTCTATTTTCTTGCCAAACTTCCTTCATGATACAAGAGACTCTGAGACGGAAGAGGGCAAGCTCATAAGCCCAGGATGACTTTTATCCTTATTAAGTACCTCTCATTCCTCAGAATCCCCCCAGGCCTGACAATCTATATTTCATGCCCTTCCACCTCGCCGCAGAAAGTTGGACACTATGCTGCGAAGGGAATGCACAATAAAAGCCGAGGTAAACTCGCTTCGCGACCGATCGTCACTCCCGTTATGCACTAGCGTTTCTGGGACACCCTGTGTCGGTCAATGCGATATTACCCAGTCTAGACAGGAGGGAAAGGTCCTCCTGTAAATGGTGTTTCCACACATTTTCCTCTCTTTACTTGTCTTCCTTCTCGGGTTCCCCTTTTGGGTACTGAATTTTCCCTCTCAACACAGACTTCTTTTATTTAAATCCATCGTTATCCATTTCAGGAAGTTCTAGGAGCGCATCTACCTCACAGAGCACAAAGCGAGAGGCACCGAGCGAAAGTGTTCCTTTTGAGTTTTTCATTAAATAGAAACCTGTTGTGAAATGAAATAGTGAGTGTGAATAGCACATGACCCCACCCGAAAGGAAAAGACATTTCATTCGCCAAGCAGAGGACAGAAGGACGTATTAACCACACCAATCTCCCACTGGCCACAAAAATATTAAAATAGTTGAGCCACAATGTATGTGCTCCGCAGGTATCACCTGTTTTACATTTACTGTCTCATTTATTTCCCGCAACAACCGTGTAAGGTGACACTATATAACTCTCGTCGTGAAAGAGAAAAAGGAAGCTTAGAGAGATTAAGCAAGGCGTGCACCAGGTCATGCGGACGTCTTAGGGAATTGGAAAGCCACGTACTTCTGACGTCAGAGTCTCTCCTCGGACCCACTATTTTCCATCCCTCCTCAGGCATTTCTTCCGGATGAACGTGAAGACAGAGACCGTTTTCACGTGGAGTTGATCTTTCTAATGGCTTCCATCTCGACTGAGGGTTAATGCAGTCTGTCTTTCGTTGTGACTTTGGGGTGAACCCCCAGGCACTTGGAGTTCTCCATCACTGGGTAGCTCCCGGCCGGTGGAATCTTCCTTCAAGTTTCCTTCCATTTTCGCTTTTCTTTCCAGTCCATCCCTCTCTCGGGTCTGTACTTGAACTTGAGGGCGGGGGCGGGGTGGGCAGAGTGCAGTGCAAGCCTTCTCTTCTCACTGAAAGGGCAGCTGTCCACTGAGTTCACACAGTAACTCGAGTAGGTGTGTTACTTAATACGCCACGAGAAAATGCCCACCCCGAGAGTCTAAAATTGTGGATTTAATAGGCCTCCTGCTGCTGCTCGGCTGCCTTCCAGAGGCCCCGCTGGATTGCTTCCTCTGCAGGCGCGGCCTTCTGCCAGAGACTGGGGGGGAGCCGCGGTCGTTGAGCTGCGGTGAGAGGTGACAGGTGGTTGCTCTGCCATCGCGGGATGTTAAAATCGATATTAAAATATTTTTTTCCGAAGGGTGAAGAGAGACTAGGGAAGGAAAGAAAGGCTGTTTGATACCGCGCCCTCATGTTTCTGTGCCTTTGGAGGTGTGCTGGCTCCCAACCAGCTTTCCACACTCAGACCTAAATCCTCTAAAGACTAATTCTGGGAAGATGTTGGCACGAGGACGCGGTGGGGATGCCCGAGCCCGGCCTGCACAGAGGCTTGTTTCACCAGGACCCCTCACCCAACCGTCCCTCCTCACCAGCAGCCAGGAGGGGGCTCCGGGAAGGGCATAACTAGGACTTTTACAGAGGCTGCCGTCGCCCCCTCCCTTTTTTTTCCCTCAAAAATAGTGAGGAGCTACTACAAATGCGCTAAGACATGACAACTCAGGAGGCCACAGGCCTTCTTCCTTTTGACCCCTGGCATCGCAAACTTCACCGAACAGGCTAGGAGCTTTCCCTGACTCACCACATGAACCTGTCAGCGTCGGTCCTCAGCCCATCAGAAGTGCCGCTCGTGAGCTCGAAGAAACCAAACGGCCTTTCAACAAAAGTCATCTCCTCCTGGAGACAGGAGTGGGGTCATTTTTAGAAACACGGTTTTTCTGGGTTTTTTTGGAAAAAAGTGAGAGATGTTTTGATAGTTCAACTAAAACTTATCAGATGTTTTTTATCAATGGTTCCGCTTTTGTTCTTTATTCGGGTTTCTATTGTTTAAACCTTCCTGGAAATGGCTGCTCCTGAGGCCTGAGCTGTGTGGCTTTCTTACTGCTGGGAAACACCAGGGGGTTCCTGGGAGACCGCATCCGCTCCTGAGACCAGCAACTCACGGTGCAGACCCCGCCTGTCATTCTTCGAGAATGAAGCCAGGCTCAACCCTGCGCCTTTAACGCTGGCAGCTGTTAGCACTGCTCTGCCACAGTAGACATCTGTCATTCTTTTTGGTTGCCCAAGTATCTGAACTGCTTACGCATATTTGTACGCTTCCCCACCTTCAGGTTCTTGGTGGAAGGCCATGCTATCAAGTAGCAGAGAAGCTGAAAATGCTATAGGTGCATTGTCTCCCGAATGTATTTACAGGGAGGGCCCAAATGTGGGACCCAGCCCTCCGCCATCAGGCCCATGCACAGCAGCCTTGGAACCTGGAATCTGTGAGGCAAGGAGCGTGTGTGGGGAGGAAGATTCTGACAGTGGTGGCAGCTACTGAATGACTCAGATCTATTGAGCTACTTAAATAAATTCTCCTAGCGAGGCTTTCTGCCTGCTGCTTACAACTGAAAATCCTGACTTAAAACAACAAAAATAAATTTAGAGTGGTTAGAAGTTCCAATTTCTTAAGATAGCAGAAAAATCATCTTAAAGCTTAAAACTGTACACTAATGTAGTCCAGAGCCCACTGAACCCTGTAAAGGGTGCCTTATAAATATAAATACACCTATTTACATAATTCATGCAAGGATATCTGTACAGAGACATGGGCATCTTCATGTTTGTATGTGCGCGTGCGCGCGCGTGTGTGTGTGTGTATACACGTCCAAGTCACACAATTCAATATATCACATTTGGGACTGGAAGCCAATGGCGCCCAATGCCAAACTTTAAATTCCCTTCTAAAGTTGTTGGACCACCCTCCTGCTCCCGAGTTGATTGCTTTCTGTTCACTCCCTCTCTTTATTGAAAGAACGTATTTTATTTATATCAAGCATAACAGCATTCTCCTCCTTTTCCAACCAATTTCAGCTGCGTTAATCACGGACACAAAATGAACTAAGGTCGGTGTGGGATACTCAGCTGACACCAGCTGCAGGGTGGCATTCATTCTGAAGCAGAAACGCTGAGCATTAAGTGAAATGTGAAGTTATTAAAAGGGGAGTGTGTACCATATACCCTCAGGGACGTGTGCTGTCCTTGTTAAGGAAGTCTGGGGCTCTGAAACCCCAGTTCACAAAGCACACACACTTTTTTTGCAACAAGAAATCCAATAATGCAGAGGAAACTGAAGCAAATGTCCCTGGAATCTCCACTGAACTGGCATTTTCCAAGGCTCTTAGCCAAAACATGGGGATATTGTCAAAGCTTGTTCCTGCCTGTGGGTTATATCACTGATTCCTTGCAATGACTGTGGGGCACTGAACCAAGGCGGGGACTACGATCTCGGTCTTACAGACAAAGAAACCAAGGGCTGGGGTCAGCCAGATTGTTAATGGTTGAGATGGGACTACAATCATGTGCTTCTGGCTCCAAGTTTATTGTTCTCCACCCTCTACCATGACATTACTCAACGTCTCAGGGTTGGTTTTCTCATTTCCTACTTTTGGGTGGAGAGACTCATGTACACACGCATACACATGCTCTGTCTATTCATTTATGTGTGTTTATGTGTGTGTATTTAGATTATGTACTTTATGTATTCATTAAAATATTTAAATATACTATATATTAAAATTACTTCCAGTCAAGGGAAAATATCAGGAAATTGCTTATGGGCTCTTATTCCAAAAATAGTGAGTGACTAGCCTTCAGGTGAGCCAGCCATGAGCTGGGGGCTCACCTCTGACATCTGCTTTCCTCCCACAAACAACTGTTCTTGTTCCCCTTCCCCAGGGTAACTCCTGCCTTCCTCTATTGTCCAGTGTAAAGATTCCTTCTTCTGGGGGGTCTGCTCTGCTCCCCAGTTAGGTCAGGGTCCTCTTATTATATGCACTCCTACTAGTGTATTTCTTTCTCCCTTTGTTATTCATAACATATGAGTTAGTCTGACCACTTGTTTCATGACTGGGTTTTGTATGAATTTATCCCCAGGACCCAACCCAGTGCCTGGAGCAGAGTGGGCACTCAACCATCTTTCCATAAAGATGACATGAGAGCACAGGGGAAGGATTTGTCCACGGTAGGTGCGTCTCCTAATTTGGGACACGGTGGTAGGTCACATGGGTTCTGCAGTCACAATGCTTGTGTCTGAAGGCTGGTTCTGCCACCTCCCAGCTGTGTGGCTGAACAAGTTGTGTGGACTCTGTCCTCGAACAGCCTCATCAGCAAGAGGTTGGTGATACAGTTGCCGACGTCACAGAGCTGCCTGAGAATTAACTGAGCTTATATATATGGGAAGTACTCCAGACACTGCCTGTTACATAATAAATGCTTAATAAAAACTGGCAGTGCTTATTGTTTTCTATAAGTAGGGGCGCCAGGACCAACGATCATCAGCTGCCCAAGTGCCAAAAAATTATGCTTCTGAAATCTCTTGATGTTGAGTCCACCTAAAGAGCCATCGAGCTGCCGTGTGTGTGCCACTCACAACAGAAGCCCTCCCCTCCTTTTGAGAGGCAGTGCTTATTTTTTATAACAAGGTAGACAGAATGAGTGTGAATTAAAACAAGTCCATAGGTTCAAGGCAGGGAAACTGAAGAAGACTCAATGTGAAGACTTTTATTTTCTGGACAAGTTAGAAGATGAGAAGGAGAGGAAGTCTGAATGTCAGAGATCAGAGGAAAGTGTGACAAATCAAGCTGCTGCACAGGAATCCTGCCGACATCCGTCCCCTCGTGGACACTGCCTCTCCCCACTCTCCCAGGGCTTCAGCTTGGGCACGAAAAGCCAGCTTGCTCCCACACAGGGTGAGCGATCAGAGTCACTTTGTTGACTCTACTTCCAGAATGGAAAACTCAAAACCGAATGCATCGAGGACCCCAGAGCAAACCATCTAGTCAGCAATACCAAGGCCTGATAGTTTTATATGAATGTGGAACGCACTAGACATATAATTAGGAAATAGCTTTTGCATTCTGGAAGAATCTGGTCCCTTTGCAGAGGTTGTTCGTTTCTGGAAGTTCTGAGATTTTATTGTATCCTTAGGGTGATCAACTCCGTTTCCTTAATGTGTGCAATTGCAGACATCCGTTCGTTGGGGCAGACGAGCCTAACCTGTCACTGGGTGATGGATGTTTTCCTATTGCTCTGCTGAGGAGCATTAAGTTAAGCCTTCACTCCAGCGCCACAGATAGCTGAGACAACAGATGGCCTTCTTTGCAATTCCGAGGGACTGCTGCAGTAGGAGTTTCAGAAGAGTGGCTTCTATTTGTTGATGGCTTAAAATAGACTTGGCAAATAAAGAACTATTATTGTTATGTATGCCAGAGAGCACAGTGGCTGATGAAGGTGGAGCAGGAGGAGAGGAGGCAAAACTCTGTCCAGTTGCCTTCCTGACCTTGCAGGATGCAGTAAATTTAGGCTACTGGGTAGACGGAGGAAGCCAGAGTGGTTTTGAAGTCAAGTTCTATCTCTAATACTTGCAGGTGCTGAATATCTTTTCTGCGGCCACAAAAGTCAGCTGAAGCACAACTGGAAGACAGACAATGCAAATCCGTTTTCAAGAATTACTGGTATGTTTCAGTGCATATTAATTCCATTCATTAAAAATACTTATAATCAAACCCTGGAACCTATGAACTTTTAAAAAATGACAGTGTGGAGGCATATGAACAAGCTTAATATCATTTATCCTGTTTTCTGGGATTTCTACGACCAAGGGAAGCCTTTAAAGTCTCTTGAATCAAACAAAATTGCTGTCCCGTCAATATGTGTGTGTTCCGTCTCGGACCATTGATGAGACACCAACATTCACGACAATAAGAAGGATTCTACTTCACATAAGACTAGACTATTTGATAAACTCCTGCGATCATTAGCAGTGTGCTGACTACTGAAAATCGTCATTGTTCAGAACTATCAATCCCACGAGAAAAAAAAATCAAAAGCCCAGTTGGAAGGTTACAATTGACACTGCATGGTAAAAACCTTGCTGCTGTCCCAACACTGCAATTTAGGGGCTTCTCAGATGGAACGCTGCAGGATGGCCCAAAGCAAAATGCACCCACTGATGGAATGGCATTTGGTGTTTGTAATGGTCTCACAAAAGACAGTGAAACTACATGGTTACATGTATTAGACACTAAAGAGATCGCTTCTAATGTAAATGCTATCACATGTGGGCAGAGTATCTGCTACTTCTAAGTGCAAGAAATGCAGACTCTGTAATATCTGCAGATTATCCAGGCACACCAGCCCCACTCAGGTGGCAGAGGATTATTCTACACTCTGCTCGCAGATCAAGGATGCAAAGTGTAAATGCTTTCAGCAGATGCTTTGACTCTTGAAGGCGTATGTCGTTTATGCTTCTTTAAAAGAAATTGCCAAAACTGGTGCCCTAGTTCAAATCACCTGGCACTTGGACCTCGGTACTTTTTTCATATGACAGTAAAACCAAGAGTTGAGTCATAAAAAGACAGGCCAGTGCAAGGCGGTTGGCAGTTTATGCAACAGAAGTTTAATTCACTTAACATGAACGCGAGGTGAGGATGATGATTTGTAGATGATACGGAGGAACAACAACTCCATGTGTGCTATCTCAGTAACTGGTGGAATGACACTTCACAGTATTTTCCAACAAAGACTTAAGCCTTCAAATCCCAGCATCCTCACAGCAGTGATGCTGCTGGAAGGATACGGTGAGTGTGCTCTTTAATTTTACACATAGAAGGTGGTAGGTACCCTGATAGGCGCCGGGGATACACAAAACCTCCTAGAGCCAGAGTCCCCTACAGTTATTCCCATTAATACAGCCTGAGGGTAGAGAACAGCCATATATCTCCCCCACCTAATCTCCAAAGCATTTGAGTTTCATAAGAGGAAACCATGGTCATTTCGTCTAGATTTAGTTACTGCATTCATTCAGTTGAAATCTCGAGATGCACCTTTTGCTCTAACCGGGAAACTGGAAAGATTTAAATATCTAACTAAACAAAACGTATCAGTTAAGGTTTTTTGGTTGCAATCAACAGAAAGAAATTCTGGGCTGAGAAAGGAATTTCATAGAAAGATTTGGGGAAGTTCAATGGACAGAAGAAACATGTAAGCCAGGACTCAGAAAGGGCATGAACCAGGGCAGTGTCGGGGACCCAAACAGCAGGAAGGAATGGAGCATGTGGGCAGGACATCTTCAGCAGGATGGTTTTTTGTCCAACACTTTAATACTTACAGATAAAGCTGAAAAGGGAGATGTTCTCTGAACACTGTAGACTAAGTTAACAGGGGTTTTTTAAAATCGTAGTTGTTTACTATTTTTTGTTTTCTGGAAGTTGTGACGTGAGGTCACCTTGATTCAGTTCTTCAGGCTAATACTTCATTAATGATGGCTGTCAGCCCCATACTTGATGTGAACTGAGGGCTGGTGGAAACAGTGTTCTCCAGGAACATTCTAATAGACGAGATGTGAAAACAGGGTCTTAGCCTCAATCTCTGTTAAAACATGAATTCAAGGTTAGAGTCTTGAAAAAAAAAAACTATAATCACAGTTACTTATTTGCAGCCTGGAGCTTCCTTCTGAGATGTCTTCCTGCCTAATTCATAGCCCGCATCCATGTGGTAGAGTCCCTGGGCGCGCTCTTTAGCGCTCCCTGACCCCTGGAAGTCCAGACTTACAGGGTCTTTGGGAGAGCCCAGTGTATAGTAATCCTCTTCCCTACTAAGTGGGAACCAATTGAGATACTGTAGTCAGCAAATGAAGGCAGAAAGCACCTCCTTCTTCAATGATAAAATTGATTTTAGAGACTGTGGCTTGAGTCGGGGGTGGGGACAGGAACAAGGATAAGCCCTCAGTGTTGAACACAGAAGTCACAGACATACTCAGTCCCAGTTCCAGGCAGCAGCTAATCATGTCAGGTTTCTCCATTATTCGGGGGACTGTCCCTGTAAAGTTACACCAAGAAGGAACAAAGGAGAATGTATACTGCTTAAAGGCAGCTTGTTCCAAAGAGGAAGGTAGGAGGAGATCCATTTCTACTTCCAAACTCATCAATCAGGTAAGTCACAGCACTTCTCCTGGGGAGGAGTTACTGAGAAGGTGGGGAACAATCTATTGATGGGCATCCCCAGGTAGAGATGAAATGTTGTCTCCTTCAAGACCTTAGAGCACAAAGTCTAGAGAGAGACCAGTCACCTTCTCCTGTCTGCCTAAGGGTGACTTCTGAGTTCTAGTTTTCTTTTTGAGGACACACCTCTTCTGATGATAACCCTTTTCAAGACTACGTCTACATGTAATGGTGTACTTTTTTTTTTTAATCAGGCTCATTTTATTTATAATCTTAAAACAGGAATATTGCAAATATAGGTACATTTGTTCATATATATATATATATATATATATATATATATATATATATCTCAAATGAAAAGGAAGATTTTGCAAAATTTCAGTTCTTTTGCTAAACAATCCATCAGACAGGTTGACTCATGTAGTGGTTTTAATGGTGACTTAGCTGGAGGGAACCATCATCTGTCTTTCTGGGTATAACTAGTATATCTTTAATGGTACTCTTAATATACAACTTTTGTCCTAGAGATATATAAGCTAGAATAAGAATGGTGTTTTGTTTTGTAGTTTTTATAATGTTTCCTGTTGCATGGGTATCTAATAGACATATTTCCTACTTCACCAGTTTTTCTACATTAATTTGTGTACCTCAGTTCAATTCCCAACTAGTCTACTTGCATTATCTGCTTACAAACGGTTCTTTGATATTTTTGTATTTTATTATATAGCTTTTTAAAAATGACTTTATTTAGACATAATCGACATAGTAAACTGCACATATTTAAGGTGGACAATTAGATCAGTTTTGACAACTGTGTACACTGTGAAACCATCACCCCAATCATGACAGTGAACATGAGTCAAAAGACACAGAATCAACACTTGTCGTGTCTCTTTGTAGTCCCCCTCTTCTGCTATTCAGACCCACCCTCCTCAGGTGATCACTGATCTGCTTTCTACCACTATAGACATGTTTACATCACACTCTTGTTGTTTAGCTTCTTTCACTCTGCATAATTATTTCGAAATTCATCCATGCTGGTTTTTGTATATCTTTAGTTCATTCCTTTACCTGCTGATTAATATTCCATGGAATGAATATACCACAGTTTGTTTGCCTGTTTACCTACAGAGGGAAATCTGGCTATCACAAATAAAGCTGCTATGAACATTTGTGTATAGATCTTTGTATGGACATATGCTTTCCTTTCTCTTCAGTAAATACCTAGGAGTGGAATAAGCAGACAATATGGTAGATTTAAGTTTAACTTTTTAAGAAATTGCCAAACTATTTTCCAAAGTGGTTGGTTATGCCATTTTATATTCTCACAATCAATGTATGAGGGTTCCACATTGTTGGGTTTTCTTTATGTTCCTTGTGCTTGAAGTTCATTAGGATTCTCAGATCTGTGAAGTTTTAGATGTCATCAAATTTGAACATTTTTCCAGTCATTTCTTCAAAGATTTTTTTTCTGTCGCACCCTCCTCTCATTTAGGGACTCTGATTACATATATGCTGGGATGCTAAAAGTTGTCTCACAGTTACTGAAGGTCATCATTTAAAAAAATTCTTTTTCATTTTGTGTTTCATCTTGAATTGATTCTATTATTATGTTTTCAAGCTCATTAATATTTTCTTCTGCAATGTCTAATCTGCTATTAATTCCATCCAGTGTGATTTTTATCTCAGATGTTGTAGTTTTTAGCTCTAGTGTTTGATTTTTTTTTTGCATTTGTTTTTCATATGTTCTATATCTGTATTTTGGGGGCTTTCAGAATATAGTTATGATACTCTTTTAATGTCTTTGCTAATTCTAACATCTGTGTCAGTTCTGTGTAGGTTTGAACTGACTGATTATTCTCCTCATTATAGGTCACATTTTTCTGCTTTTTAGAATGCCTGTTACTCTTTTATTGGATGCCAGACATTGTGAATTTTACCTCGTTGGCTCCTGAATATTTTTGTATACCTATAAATATTCGTGAGCTTTGTTCTGGTATGCAGTTAAGTTTCTTTGAAACGTTTTGATCTTTTTGGGTCTTGTTTTTTAAGACTTGTTAGCCTGGACCAGAGCAGCATTTAATCTTGGTAATGTGTCCCTCAGTACTGAGGCAAGACCCTTCAACTACTCTACCCAATATCCCGTGAATTATGAGGTTTTTCAGTCTGGCTAGTGGGAACAGCCACTATTCCTGGTGCTTCATGAGTACTGAATGCTTTTTCTTTAATGCTTTCTCCAATTTGGACAGTTTTCTCATATACATAAACTGATCAATACTCTGATACACACTCAAAGGGAACTCTGCTGATCTCCAGAGTGCTTCTCTATGCAGCTCTTTCCTCTGACCCAGATACTCTATCATACAACTCAAGCTGCCTTGGCAGTTGCTTGAGGAATAAGGTAAATTTGATCCCTATTATTCTATCTTGGCTATAAGCAGAAGTCAATAATTTATTTTTAAATTATTTCAAACACACAGAAAATGTTTAAGACATGTACAGAGAACTCCCATATTCTCTTTACCCAGATTTCCCAATTATTACTATTTTACCACATTTGTTCCACTTCTCTCTCTCTCTCTCTCTCTCTATATATATATATATATATAAAATATAATTATAGTTTTATCATTATTCTTTTTTAAACCATTTAAGCAGGAATTACAGACCTGATGATTCATCACTCTCACTTCCTCCAGGGTATATTTTTCTGAAACAAAGACAGTCTCCTACACAACCACAGCACAACCAAAATCAGAAAACAATGCCCATACAACACTGCTGTCCAGTTCACAGAACACTCTCAAGCTTTTCCAACTATCCCAACAATGCCTCTTTTGTTCTGGTGCAGCAGACAAATCGGGATCATGCATGGCATTAAATTGTCATGGGTTTCCAATGTCACCCTATCTGGAATAGTTTTTAGTCTTTCCATCTTTCCATTCTGTAGTTATTCCTCTACCTGAGTTTGTCTGATGACTTCTCTTGTCCAGACTCAGGCCATGTCTTCTTTGCAGGAATGCTATGATATTGTGCTTTTCTCGGGATATCACAACAAGAGACACATGAGGTCAGTCTGTTCCACTGAAGTTACTATTCACTAGGTCAAGCTGATGTTTACCAAGTGTGTTAGTCACAAAGTCACCATTTTCCCTCTTGTAACTCATGAGAATTCTGTAGGAAGGTATTTTGACACTGTACCAATATTTAGTTCCTAATCAAACCTCCACACACCAGCCTTGACATCTATGGATGACTCATATCAAATCCCACAGAACCTGGTCTTAACACGTAGCAATTCATTTTGTTTTCCAAAGGCATCAGCTGTCCTGACAGAAGATCAGCTGTTCTAGCAGTAACAGTTCTAATCGCTGTCAAAGACCAATATCAAAAGAAAAACCATACCTTAAAGAAGCAGTTCCATTCATTTAACAATCCATCTATCCAACCATCAATCCATGTATCATCCATTCATTGAATAAGTATTGATAGCATTTTTACATGGTGCCAGGCTGTGGAGATAAAAAAACAAAAACAAAAAAACAGAAGACACAGTGCTTGTACCTAATAGGCTCCTGGTTTTAGCAGGGAAAGACAACGTCAACAAATAATTACAAGTCAATGTGATTATAATACAACAATGTATTATAATGCAGGTAGGTATAAAATATATGGAGTACTGAAAGAAAATAAATGTTATTAGCATATAAGATGTTTCCTGGAGAGGTAATAACGGATTGGGTCCTTTAAGGTGAGCAGGAGCTTGGGAGATATTTGCTGAGAGTGGAAATAAGTAGACTGCTCCAGTTAGAAGCAACAGCATGTGATAGTGGGTAATATAAAAGCATAGGGTACAAAGACTATAGAAGGAATTCACTGGAGGAGGGGAAGGGGATGAGGGGAGGGGGATTGGTGGCGGGTGGAAAAATAGAGGTGGGGCCAGCTTGGTATGGGGCCAAATTGCTTTGATCATGTTAAGGAGTCTGGATTTTTTACTCGCCAGGGGTTCCCACTAAAAGTGCAGATTCCTGGACCCCATCCCAAAGTTATTTAAATTAGAATCTCTGAGGAAGGTCTGCGAATCTGTATTTTAACAAACACCTCGAGTTTCAGGATCACTGCTAGAAGTCAAAGGGTGCTACTGAACGCCTTAAAACAGAGTGAAATCATCAGCTTTGTGTTTTAGGAAGATCATTTTGGGACTCATGGAGGATGTCTTGAAAAGGGGAGCAGGTAGAAGCAAACATCTGCGGCAGTAGACACAGCTCTCTCTCAGTTATTTCCAAAATACAGATTGCCAAGCCCTGCCTTTCCTGGGGATGATCTTAGCTGAATATAAGGAATTTGTGGAGGAGATATGATCCAAGCTGCCAGCATTGTCTCATGCCTCTGAATTGGTCAAGGCTAAAAGGATAATCCAGACACAAAGATGCTCCACAGTGGATTGTCAGATTACGCTGGCCAACAGGACTTGCCAAGTGTCTCATTATGGAACATGCTTATTACTCCATGTTCAACAGCAGGAGTTGCGGCAGATATGGTTGATTGGCATTTAACATCTATTCCACTCTTCTTCTGGAGTAGTGGCTTTCAAACTTTTTTTTTAAACTCATTCCACAGAAAGAAAAAAACTTCCATTGCAATCCAGTAAACACATACGTGTGTGTTGCCCAAAACAGAAATTACCCTAAGTTGACGCCCTCTGAAATTTTTATTCTGCTCTATTTTATTTCTTTCAGTGCTTTCATGATTCACTAAGGATGAGTCCTGATCCCCAGTGTGAAAGCCGTTGCTGTAATGTGCTTTCCTGTCCAACAGAGGCTGGAAAGTGAAAGACTGCGTTTTCCCACCTGCTTCAGCTAAAGCTCCAGTTGTTTTCGGCTCTGCAAACCCAATGCCCTCACATTGCTTTTGCTACTTCTGCTGGCAGGTAAGTCACGGGGGTTTGGTCTTTCTTGGCAATGCCAGCAGAGGTTTTGTCACTAGCATAGGTGCCTTTTTTAAGAAGAAAAGCAAGGGGTATCCATTTTTGCTGGTGGAGTTTATATCAGGCATAAAATGGTTCGGGAACCTGCAGCATTCATGGCTTTTTAAGCATGGCACCTCCTTAATCAGGACAGCTTCTGACTGCAGTGGTTTCAAGGTCAGGCAGGGACAACGTAGTGCTGAAGGCTGAGGAGTCCTGATCCTAGAGGGGTAGGTGCTGCTTGGGTGCCCGGTACTGGGGTGTGGCTAGGAAGAGCGGAGGGAGGTCACCAAAAGGTCCCCCTAGGGACTGCTTTGTCTGCCCTTCCAATGACACTACCTGCCACTTAAGGACCTGCAGAAAATCTCTACTTGCCTGAATTACCTAGAGAGGAGTCTTTTCTCTGTCTCAGAGCCCTGGACACACAGTAATCAGTCCTGCTGAAGTACTAATGAGATATTAAGTCATGGGGGCTCAGGACTTGCCTAAGTCTTCAGCTGTCAAACTTAATCTGGGTCCAAACACAAAAATGAATGAAGGACAACTACATCTAAAACACCACCAGCCAATCAGAAACATAAAGTTGCATAAAAACAGCAAAACACGCAAGATTATAGTTCGGTCTATAAAAAGTTTAGAAAACAGTCAAATTAAACCATATTGCTTAGAGATCCATATTTAAGGAATAGATTTATTTTAAAAAAAAAGGTGTTTATCAAAAAAGTCAGAATGGTGAGCAGGCGATCCGTAAGGGTAGTGGAGAGACTTCTGAGGTGCTGGCTATGTTCTATTTTTTTACCTAAATGGTGATTTCACAGTGTTTGGCTTATATACTTTTCTGTATGTGCATTACATTTTACATTCTCTCACACACACAAAGGATGAAAATTTGCAACAATAAACAAAAATTTAAATTAGGATTCACACAGTTTATGATCACCCAGTCCATCTACTCATTTGATGCTTGAAGCTCCCTACAACTTTTCTGTCCTTTGTTTGACCCCTTCTGAAGAGCTGGAGTTGCATGGTTGTCGCTCATGAGAGCAGTAACACACCCAGGCAGGTAACAGGCGAGCCTCCTAGGTTTATTGCCATGGAACTGTGGTTGTCCACCCTCTTCCCTCAGTTTCCAACACACAGGCCACTGAAGACCATCTTTAAAGACCTCAAAAGGATCAGCAAGTCTAACACTGAAACTTAGCACCGTCAGGACGTAGCCTCCCTCCCTTCCTCTGACCCTTGGGTAATAATATAGCTTCCTTTTTTCAATAGAGGGACATCCATTTGCTTTTTTTTTTACTATTACTTACAAGAGCCAAGACAGCAACGATCAATACCATAGCAGAAAAAGAGACACTTAACACATGAGTTACCTTGAAGTGTGAGCTGCTCTTTCTTTTAAATGGGCTGCTAAGTTTGGGCAGGGCGACTGGGAGAGCAGAAGTGAGGGGGTGAGACAGAAAGAAAACTTCACCCTCTCTGTAGCCTCATTTCATATTTTCCGACTTTACAGGATGATCTGTTGGTTTGAGTAGGCAAGAGACAAGTGGCCTGAATCTAAATGACCATCCAATGAAGGAAAAGTCACAACACAAAGGTTTCCACATCTCCAGTCCTCAAAGAGAGAGACTGTTTGTGGGGTGGGAGGGCACGAATGCTGTCAGGATTAAATGTCAATGCTTGAAATCTTTTCAATCAAAAGGTGCCATGGTGGCTTCAAATAATACACTTGGTTTACAAGTTCAACTTTTTGTTTTGAAAGAAACACAGCCTCTGCAGGAAAACATTTCCAAAAGCTTTTCACTTTTTCCTGGGGCTTCATAATACTTAGAAGATTTTTCAGCTGATTAGATTTTCCCAAATAAATGGGCATGATACTCAAGGATATTGTCTTTTGTTTGTCTAGTAAATATTTGCTGAATGAATTACAACGAACAGATGAAAAAAAATGTGAAAGAATAAATCACTATGATGAATTAGGTGGTTCTTTTTTGATATATACGGAAGTTACACATTTTCATGAGAACGATTTCTGAGAATTATCGGTAGTGATTCTATTATAACAAAAGACAAATAAGTAGAGCTGCCTCTCTACTCCAGGCAGGGAAAGGAAAGTTGAAATGTGAAGCAATTATCTGGATAATTCAGACAAAAAACCAACTATTGAGGGAAAGGAGGCCCTCTTTTTCCTGGCCCCAGTTCATTTGAGCCATCCAATAACATGACCCACTGGAGTGGAATTTGGCATTAAAGAGGCTTGTCTTGGCTCGTGTCCAGTGGGGTTTAGTTACTGAATTCTTTAAAGGACATTGTTTAAACATGGTCTCCCATGTAACTGGGTTCTAAGGCATGAGCTTCAAGAACGTTGACACCACCACGTGACTCCAGGGTATTATTCCATTGGATCCAATTATCCGGAAAATCACTCACATTCCAGTTCACCTTTCTGGGTTAGACAAAAGCAAAGTGTATTGCCCAAGATTTGCTCCACAATAATTACATGTGAATACCTGAAAGCTTTGCCTGAAGTGTGTTAATAAATATGATCCCAGTTCCTAGATGGTGTAGATAGAAGCAAATGGGCCAAAGGTGACAGTTATTTGGTAATTCCTCATTCACTACCCTTGCCTGCCACTTTCTTGGTTCCTCTGAATGCACGTTGGATTACTGAAAGAATTGTGTTGATTTAATGGATGGTAGGAATTACGACATTTAAGTTGCCCACCATTCCAATCTTCTTTCGTGGCTCTAACTGAGCACTTGTTTACCAATGGGGGAAAAACACAAGGATGTCTTGCAGAGGGTAACCGTGTTGTAGAAATAGCAACTGTGGCTTTTTGCTTTCTTTAGTTGGCTGGCCATGCCTGAGCAAGGTTTTCTGTAAGATGACCTGGGGTTGGGCATTCTGCCCATGCGCACACCTGGCAGACTGGAGCCTCCTATCCTTGGGAACTTGGATACATGCTGAGTTCCCATTTTCTCTGACTGCAAAACAGACAAGGACCAGCTGGTTAGTGCTGACACGGCTCACACTACTGGCGGGAACACTACTTAAGTGTTCTGCGTTTGCTCATTATTTATCAATGGGGAGACATTTCTCCGGAGAAAAGCATGTCCTTTGTCTTCTGACGAACAGATCGTTCTTCCAATGGGGGATGATCTAGAAAGCAAAAACTGATAATTCATTTCCCATGTGTAGGCCCCATGTGTAACTCCCCATGTGTAAGTTTTCATTTTAAAAGTTCGAGTTCAAATAAAAGAAATGGATTGTGGCCCTAGAAATCCCAGATACTTAACTTTTCCTGGTAGCAATATGATTTTTAACAGCTGAATATGCCATCTCTCATTTGAGCAGGTTGCTTTTGCCACCAGTTTGAAGTACAGATCACTGTTACAAGTACTATTAATTACTTGAAGATAACTTCACACTGGAAATAATTTTTAACATCCTCAGCCTCAAGGGAACAAATAACGCAGGGCTGGGTTTAGTGTGTTCACGCAGGCTGAGCGCTTTCCTGTCGGGCTACGTGGACTTTGCAGGAGCCCGCAGGCTCCGGGAGACAGAAAAGTGGAAAATCAGACACTTAGCTAATAAAGTGTAGAGAAAGGGCTCTTCTGATTTTCCAGCATTATGTGGGATGACAGTAAAAAAAAGTAATAAAAGGATTTTTTTATACCTTTTCCTAAAAGTGAAAGCTCCCAGACTCTCCTTCGTCTCCTCTTTGCCTTCTCTCCCTCCCCTTCTCTGTCTCTGATTCTTTTTGGTCTTGTTAGATGGAATATGGGCATCTCTTTTCTCTTTGAATTATTCAAGTTACTCCAGTTAACACTGGATTCATATTCATCCGAAGAAGCTTATTTTTGCTTAAGTTTTCCAACCATGAAACTTGCAGAGCATAATGGAAATGTAAGTGATACTCAGCTATTGTCCTGGAAATAGACCCCATTACAATTATATGTAAGAGATATTTAAAAATAACTGTAAAACAGGATGGATATTTATGCTCTTCTGAAGATGAATAGACTTATTTATAGGTGGAGAGACATTCCATAAGATAAGCTAAAATTAATCATATTGCTGAAGTTTTCAAAGAGGTCAGAGTCCAAATTAAATATAGAAGGGCAAACCGGTTTCTTCCTCTTGCGTATTTTAATGAAGACTAGAGAGGCTGGGGAAATATTTATATTCTTTTATTCATATTTTCAGGATTGCCTCATGTCTCGATTTTTTTTTTCCAAATCTCTCATTTAAGTGAGGGTACTTCAAAGTGAATATGGGTATTCTCAACTCCTCATATCTTAAAAAAGAAAAAAAAAAAAGAAGAATTAATGGGGCTGGAAATTTAAAAACAACAGATGTACTAAAAGTGTGATTACAGCCATGAGTAAGACATACGGGGGAGTTCCACCACTTTATGGAGCTTTGGTTGAGGGCTGATTGTATCATAGAGAAACTGGAGCCCCGGAGCCACACTAAGACCATCTCTAGGAAATGACTGCTGATTTCCCTAGGAGTGCGGTAGATAAGGAGTGTTTCTCCCTAAACACAGCTCTCTAACTGCTTTGTGGTTAACAAGACGCCCCGCTAAGAATTGTGGGTAACTCATTTAAGGATGAATATTGAGATATGTGCTGTGTGGTGAGGGAGGAAATTGTGCTTCCATTACTCTGATGGAATTTAAAGGTAGAGGGGGATCAGCTCTTCCACTCTGGGGCAGACACAGAGAAGTGACCTGAACTCCAGAATCCAAGGTCAGAAAGAGGCTTCCAGCAGTACCACTTGTGCTGAATCAGTGACATTGCTTCCGTTCTGGCCCCAGGATTTTTTTTTTTTTTTTTTTTTGCCCTCCACAGAGCTACATAGTTCAGTCATGACGCCTTGAGCGAGCAAACGTCTTCAGACAGTGGCTGAGATAAGAAAAAACCAGGCGAGGCTGAGTCCCAGGCACAATGGTGTGCATGTTGATATCACTGAGTTATGAACTATTTCCTTTTAATCCAGTTTCAAAAGATGACTTCCTCCATATGCAATTAATTCCACATATAACTACAAGGAACTGCATATTTTTGAACAGTTGTGTCATCAGTATGAATGTTTAAACAATCTCTGTGGTTTCTTTCCCACAAACTGATTTAACATGTATATAAAGAGGCTTTTGGAATGAGCATTTTACATTTGCTTCTCAAACTTCAGCGTCTGTTTTCAGTAAATATTGAGGATGAAGCTTCCCCCATTCATTCCTGGAGCACCGGCCAATTGCAACTCAGGAATGCAGTTCTTGGGCTTTTCATGAATAAAATTCTCCGGTTGTGAACCTAGGCTTTCTCAGGCCACATGAACAGGACCTCACGAGAATGGATGTGGGACAGACAGTTGGTTGAGCTGGCCATACACAGATTATCCTAATTAATATCAAAACAGTGGGAGCCACACAGACCTAGGTTCAAATCCTGGTTCCATCCTATAGACAGGGGACCATGTGTCCCGTTTGCTCATGGTGGTCCCAGTTCACTTTTACTGCTCTGGTGAAACTGTTAATAGTGTCCCTTTCAAAACTGTCCCAGTTTGAGCTAGAATGTATAAGATTATTCTACTAACACCCGGGTGAGGTCTCCGTGCTCTTTGTTTTTAAGGGAGCAGCAATGTGTTGGGGTTCTGGTTCTAGAGACCCATTTCACAGGCCAAAATCATCAAAAGTCATCATAAAAATAACTCACGGTTAATTAAAAACACAACTATACATGTGACAGAATAACTTACTGACAAATGAAGGTTTCATTTTTCTCCCCACGTATTTGTTTTCTCTTCTTTTCCCATTTCAAGTAGAAACCAGTCCCTGGTGTGCTCCCTTGCCTGAGGGGTTTTTGCAGGATGGAAGGTGGAAACCCCTGTAAAGTCTATGGCTCCTCCTGTTTTTTGTAAGTGCTGGTGGCCCCTGAAGAAATAACAAGGGCACCAGACTCTAAAGAAGAGAGATGGAGCACTGGAGGGCAGAGAGTCAGAGAGAGAAGCTCTTCTGCTTAAGGAGGCAGAGGAGCAAGACTGCAGAGCCCACTCAGGAAGCAAGCAGACGGGGTGGTGACATATACGCCCAGCAGGAACAGCTATGCAATTTCTGGTGCAAAATGAAACGGTTGCCCCTTGTTCAAATTTCAAGATGGCACGGGCAGATAAAGAAGTTGTGATATATTTACACAATGGAATACTACTCAATCATAAAAAATGATAAAATAATGCCATTTGCAGCAAATGGACGGTCCTGGAGAATGTCATTCTAAGTGAAGTAAGACAGAAAGAGAAAGAAAAATACCATATGAGATCACTTTCACTTATATGTAGAATCTAAAAAAAAAAGACAAACTTATCTATAAAACTGAAATAGACTCACAGACATAGAAAACAAACTTATGGTTACCAGGGTGGGAAGAGGTAGGAAGGGATAAGTTGGGGTTTGAGATTTGCAGATACTAACTACTATATATAAAATAGACAAACAACAAGCTCATACTGTATAGCACAGAGAACTATATTCAATATCTCATAGTAACTTATGGTGAAAGAGAATATGAAAATGAGTATGTGTGTGTGCTGTATGACTGAAGTATTGTGCTGTACACCAGAAATTGATACAACATTGTAAACTGACTGTACTTCCATAAAAATATTAAAAAAAAAAACAGATGGCATCAGCAGAGCATTAAAACAAATTCAAGGCTCTTCTGAGCACAGAACCTTGTGAGACTACACAGACTCGCAGCCCTGCAGTTAGCCCTGCCCAGAGGAGATGGCTTCTCCATGTGCCAAGAAGGAGGCTCCCTCTGCAAAACCCCCTAACCCCAAATGGTGCTACCAACATCCAGGCCCGCCCTGGGCCTCACAGA